ATCTGAAAGGTTGGGATGTCGTTTATGAAATGTCGCCACGTGCTAGACTATCTCCCCCAAAGGAAGAGGATTATGAACCTCACATTAACCCAGACACATATGAAGGAGAATTCTTCCAAGAGACACGTCTTTCCAAAAAGCGTTTCAAGAACCGGTATACTTCACCCGAAAACATTGAAGTAGACAGCGACAGTGAATCCCACATCACCCCAGAGGAGGAACAAGAAGAGTCGAAACAAGAAGAGGTTACTGCTGCGGATGACCTCTCAATGCTTGACCGATTACGTAAAGGTGGCCTTCCACATGTTGATGCCACTGAACCCTATGAGCCCGTCATTGATTATAGTGATGATGATGATTATGCATTTCTTGATGATACTGATCGAGATTATTAGTAGTGTCAGGTATTCAATTTTTTTATGTTGTACTTGATGATGATACACTTAAGTGATATACATATTATTATTCATGTCAGTATTTTTTTACGTTGTACTAATTTCGTTTACTCTTTATCATGGCAGGTGTTGAAAGATGGAAGGGGAGCCGACTGAGGCCAAGGACAAACGTGCCCAAATTGAAGGTGTGCCACACCATCAAGGTAGCTCCAGCTTATATCAGTTCAGGCGGAATTGGGTATGTGGTTTGCTTCATGATTAATGCAATTCATTCATCATGCTAGCTTGAACCCTTTAATTACTAATTTACTTTGTTTCTCTCTTTCAGGCATGCTACAATAAGACGGATAAGGTGCCAGAGGGGTACGACCTGTATGCCATGGCCCACACTGCCTCTTACAAGCAAGTCAAGGGGAAGGCGAGGAAAGGGGAGGAGTTTAACCCGAGCCAGATTCCCTACAATTCAGAGCAGGTGATGATATCTAGTGGCGGGAGGTCTCGTGGCTCCATAGCCATTGATCCAGAGATTGCTCCTGAGACCACGGTGAGTTTAATTTGAATGGACGTTCCTTGCTAGTCTTATCATTTGAGTGTCATCATGCTAACGAAACATTGGAAATGATCTTTGGTGCAGCGTAACTCCACACAAGCATCACACGATCCTTCTCTAGCTACTGGCACGAGCCAGCCCGCTCCCACACCTCCATGATCAAGGTAAGTTTCTCTAGTTTTTGCTTAACAAATGCATGAAGACCTAGACTTAGCTTTATTTCCTCAAATATGCTTACCTTAATGACCTAGAGTTAGCTTCTTTTCCTCCAAAATGACTTAATAAGCTTACTCACCTCCAAAACCAGCCATTTTACCTAAGTTAGCTCTAAAACGATCTGTACTTAGCTGTGTTTCCTCCAAAATGACCTAAGTTAGTTATAATATACTTAGTTAACTAGGTTTGCTCAATAATGACATGTACTTAGCTTACTTATGTAAAAAAAGGCATAATTAGCTTAGTTAGCTCATAAACGATCCATTTTACCTACGTTAGCTCTAAAATGATGCATTTTACCTAAGTTAGCTCATAAACGATCCATTTCACCTAAGTTACCTCACAAACGATGGCGTGCTTCTTCTTCTAGTCTTCTTCTTCTAGTCACCTTTTCCTAACTTTCTTATTTGCCATTTTGCAGATTTCATTCACTTCTCGGAAGCTAGCTTGATATGATGGAGTGCTTGTTTTTTATTTCATTCTCTTCTAGTATTCTTCTAGCTTTCTACGATGGAACTTGCTATCTTGATGAAACTTTGCATTGTAATATGTATGTGCAACTTCCTAATGGTTGCAACTTATGTGTATGTGCAACTTTTGCTATGTATGAATGGATGGAACTATATATGTATGTACGATGAAACTTATGTGTTGTTAAATAGCCCTGTGAAATATATCTATATATGTCATATATATTTGCTGTGAAAATTGTTGGATTAAAAAAAACAGAAAAAAAGAGACAATATGCAGGCTCTTTGCCGTCTGCCACCGACGGCAAAGGGCTCTTTGCCATCAACAGCGGACGGCAAAGAGGCCACGTGGCAGGCAACTGTGCTTCCTGGGAGGCTGACCAATTTGGTCAGTTTGCCTACAGTGGCGGACGGCAAAGAGAAAAAAAACTTTGCCTACAACGGCGGATGGCAAAGGCCTGCCATGTAGTGACGTCGGCTGACATCATTCGGCGGACGGCAAAGGCCTTCCGAAGTTTGTCGTCAGCGGCGGACGGCAAAGGCCTGCCGTTAACCACCTAACGGAGTAACAACGCATTTATTGCCGTCTGTATTCTTTGTCGTCCGCTGCTAATGGCAAAGGACCCTTTGCCATCAGCCGCAGGAAGCAGACGGCAACGTAGCTCTTAGCCGACCCCTACTTTGCCGTCCGCGGCAGACGGCAAAGACCTTTGCCGTCCACCATCCATGCCTTTGCCGTCCGCCGTGGCAGATGGCAAAGTAGCTGATTCCTGTAGTGCAAGAACTCCCACTTTGCGAAGGTTTAGGAGGCTTGCAGGAAGGACATCGAGCGAGCATTTGGTGTCCTCCAATCTCGATTTCCTCTTGTCCGATACTTCGCTCAAACCTGGTTGAAAGATCAAATATGGGAGATCATGACTTGCTATGTCATCTTGCACAACATGATCATTGAGAGAGAGCAGGAAGAGCCAATGTTTGACACTGAACCATATTACAGGCAGGTTCCTCTTGCCCAAGTTGATCACCAACTACCGACAACCTGGACTGCCTTCCTCAATATGCGTCAGGAGATCCGAGACCCACAGGTGCATCAACAACTGCAACAGGATCTGGTGGAGCACCTATGGAGGCTCAAGGGCAATGCCTAGCTCGACGTGTGATGAAATTGAGCAAATCCATAAGTATCAGTATTCTCACGGTGCAATTCGGCCGGTCGCGAACTGAATACTGGGTTGTGGTCGGATCTCGTACCTCTGGCCCGTGGTGGGACGTACGGAGCGTGATCCTTCCCCTTGGCCGCTGGAGCAGATCGGCTGCCCTCAGGGGTGGCGTCGCCGTTGGTGGCCGCGAACTGACTTGCCGATGGTCGAGCTCGTGAGGGCGAAGCGGACACGGAGACCAGCCTCTCCAACCCGGCGCGAAGCTCGTCCATGTCCACGCCAATCGACAGCTTGACGTCGTCAATGCGCATCGTCAGATCACCCACGATGGACCGCATCAACTTAGCTGCTTCCTCGTCTTAGCGCTTGAAATGAACGTCGAGGGACTCCGCCAGGTCGGCCTTGAGGAACTCGTACACCGCCTTCATCGCGGGCGACAGGCTCTCCATGGCTTCACGGCGGCGGCGCGCCGCGAATCTCGTCGCGTGGGGATGATGGAGCGGAACTTGTTGCGCCAGGATCGATGCTCTGATACCAATTGTAAGCAACAAATCACTCCAATCGATCTATCTATTGTTCATATGCTCAGATCTCAATATTACAGGAGAATTCGAATTGAGGAAGGAGGAGGAGGACAGAACAGAAGCCAGCCAACACTCACACCATCTATCCTATCCAATCCTCGGCCGAGGCCGCCACCACCACATGTTATAGAGCCACTTGTACAGCTAAAGAGTGTTTAGTTAGCGGGCCCATTCTGGGCCACGCAGACGAGCTGGAGCTTGAATGGCCCTCTTGGGCCTGGCCTGTTGCTCGCTTGCCGGATCGCCCTGTAGCACTTCAGGTGTTGTCGATGTATCGTCCGTAGTATCGTTGACACTCTACGTGCTCACCAGGATACACACTGATCCATCCCGGCCTGCAGTGGAGCTCCACGTCCTCGACGACAGCCTCGACGCCGGGAATGTCACATCCGTGCAGTGCATACGCAGCGCCCCGGCCGCCATGGAGGTGGACCGGTACTGTGACCTGGCATGCCTCTCCTCCTATGACTACTACCTGGTCGCGTCCGGCAATCGGCTTCTGATGGTGATGGAACACGCCTCCACGCCGGTGAAGTTGGAGGTCTACGAGGCGACGGGGGAGCTGAGCAGGGGCCATGGAGGGTGGAGCAAAGTCGAGACGCTGAATGGGCGTGCTCTGTTCCTCAGCAAAGGCTGCTCGGAATCACTTCCCGCCGGTCAGCTGGTCGGAGCTCGAGAGGACCACATCTAGTTTATCAGTAAGCGTGACGAGTCGAACAACGACTCCAGCGAGGAGCTCCACTCCGGCGTGTACAGCATGAAGGACGGGGAGGTGGCCCCGTTTCCGTCGGGGACGGCAGCCGCATGGCAAGGTCGTGCATGGCCGCCCACCTGGTTTTTCCCGACGTGAACTTGATCAAACCATGATTTCTTTTGAAAGTTGATGAGGAAATTGTAAGTTGTTCACCAATCAACGGGTATTGCAACAGCAGGTTGGCAAAATAGCAAGTACAACCAACAAATAATTAAGCTACGTGCAACAGCAAGTAACTGACTTCGATGCGTGCAAGCCAGCAATGTTAGCATTATAGTAGCAGCAGATAAAAACGAGTAACAGCTACTTTCCTGTGAAAAGAAAAAGGTTGGAGTGGTAGCATCGGCATATATATTGGCGCTTTTTTTTAGCTATTTTTTATATGATTAATTTGGGATGGCTGATGTGATCTTGCTCTTTCCACATACTCTAGTAATTTTCATTTTTGCTCCAGCCCCGGTACTGATGTAGCTCCACCAGTGGTCAGTTTGACATTGACATATTACCCTTTATTGAAAATATATGTTTATGAGATGTGTGCATGTCGCCTTCGATGTAAACATCAGGATCCATTATACTACCTCTCTCTCAGTTTACAGGGCGTGCGCGTACCCCTAGGTCGTCAATTTGACCAACCTAATACAAGTCATATATTACAAAAAATATACCAACATAAACTTCGGAGTTTCTACTTTCAAAAGATATAATTTTTATGTTATATAGTTTATATTAGGATGATAAAATTGACAACCTAGGTATACGCGCATGACTTGTAAACTGAAACGGAGGTAGTACTACATACATCTCACCCAGGATCACCGCCCTAATCCCTGACTATTCTCAATGTCTATTGTTACCCAGAGTCCGGACGCTAATTGGTAAAGGCTGCTAATTCATAGAGTTTCGTGAGCCTAATCTGCGAACCGTGCTGGGGTTGTAGAGTGGAGACCGGGCAAGGCGAATGCGTGTAGGATGGTGAGAGCTCGAACATGAAGCGTTGCAGGATCACGCTCAATCCCATCTTGGCCTCAAGCAATGCAGAGTTCTGCCCGACGCAAATCCGCGGTCCCCAGCCAAACGGAAAGAACGCCAGCAAGTTCTTGGATGCGCCGGCAATGCCCTCCGCAAACCTCTCCGGCTTAAATTCATCGACGTCTTCTCCCCACACATCTGGATCATGGTGAATGCACACAATTGGCAGTGCAAATGTAACGCCGGCTGGATATGTGACGCCTCCCAGCTCTGTCTCTTTATACGCCTCCCGACCAAGTAGTAGAATCGGTGGGTATAGCCTAAGAACCTCATGTAGCATCATTGTCACCTGCACCCATAGAGAAGATGGACATATTTAGATAGCAACTCGATGAGAAGTCGGATAACCGGGCCTCTTGTAATGATGTACTCACAACTTTAAGCCGGTTTATGCCCCTAAAATCCGTCTGGTTCTTTCCAAAGACGTGCAAAACCTCCTCCCTGGCGCGGTCCTGCCACTCCGGGTGCATGCGTAGCACGACCATTGTCCATGTGAGCAGCACCGCGGTAGTCTCCATGCCCGTGAAATAGAAGAGCTTCAGCTCCCCTACTATGTCGGCGGCGGTCATCTTGGGCTTGGAGCTTTCGGCTTCATGGCTTTCTTCTATGTTGGACTCCATCATCACGCCTAGTAGATCGTCGTTGTCGGCATGGCCATCCATCATCGCCCTCTCCCTTTTCATGATTACGCCTTTCAGGAGTACTTCGACCTCCCGGGCATTTGCCCTCATCCTTCAATTGAGCTTTGTTGGCAGGAACCTGCATAGGAATGTTATCAAATTGGAGGCCACTATGTTTTGTGATTCAGGCAAGCATCCTCTCTATTCTGTGGACTGAGTGCATCACCCTGCCCCGTGGAGGTGGAGTGACATGACGCCATGATGGACACCTTGAGCTTCTCGAGATGGAAGGCGTGGTTGATGATCCTGTGGTGGGCGACCCACTTGCCGACCTGGTGGGTGGTCAGCCCGTTGGCCAAGAGCCGCTCGATCCGAAGGATGGACCTCTGCTTCCCGAACTGGCCCTGCTTGTCTGACAGGATCTCGCGTAACGGCTGAGGGTCGCTCACCACCACCCTCGGCTCCGGACCGAACCATGTCAGAGCGACATTGCCTGCAATAATCCCGGTGGTTTCTCATGTGCTTCGGCAAAATTACGGAGATCAATCACCATACGAGGTACGGCGGCCTAACAGAGTGGACGGTGGTTAATTAATTACCGTGTTGCTTGATGATGGCATGGTCGAACGGCACCGTGCGGGCGGCGACGGCGTGGGAGGACAGCGGCATGGGCTGGGAGCACGTCGCCGCGACGAGTCGCACGTACTCCTTCATGTCACCGGAGGGGAAGCGGTACTGCGTGCCACGCACACCATGGGACCGCAGGAAGGTCTCCGTCTCACTAGTAGAAAAATGGCCTATTGTCCCACTTCGTAAGGCCCCTTTAGTCTTTGTTTTTGAACCGGGACTAAAGGATCGTTACTAATGCCCTGGGCCTTTAGTCCCGGTTTTTACTGAAACCGAGACAGATGGGCCTCCACGTGGCCGGTGCAGCGAGCCCAGACAGGAGGGCCTTTAGTCCCGGTTGATGGCACCAACCGGGACCAATAGGCATCCACGCGTCAACAGCTGGCAGGAACTGAGATTTTTTTTTTTTGAAAAGGGGTTGGTTTAGGAAGTAATTTAAGGTGTGTTAGCTAGCTAACAGAGAGAAGTGTCCTCTCTTATTTCCGTGCTTGATTTACCAACGCTACCGCTATGCCTAAACATGGCTTAGATTAAAGGGGGTGGCAACATGTGGTGCATGTCGAAAGTAATATTAATCCTAACTTGATCAAGTTTGGGTTAGTACTACTTTCAACATGCACCACATGCATGTTGCCTTCTCTTCAATCCAATCCCCATGTTCATTTCGCAGGCCACTATGTTTTGTGATTCAGGCAAGCATCCTCTCTATTCTATGGACTGGACTGAGTGGATATCTATTTATTTGCAGAGGACTGAACAACACAACCAGTACGTATCTATTTCAGATATCTGTACTGGAGTACTGGCTGTGATCATATAGTTCTGATGCAATGCTAGAAATTAATATGGAGATGCATAAGCGTAATTGCACTGACTGGAAGTATGAGCTCACCTGTAGCCTGGAATGTACATCACGTTTGCCATCTTGACAGCATTTTGCGCCTGCTCTGACTGCAACTGGAAGATCTTTCTCCCTTCACTGAAGCTGCTCCCGAACGCCACTCGGGATATCACGTCGCCCGTGAGGTTCTGAAACTCTGGCCACACATCTATCTCCTGCACATCACCCTTCCCCATAGAGCTTCCCCATCTCCGCACCAATTCGCTTGAAGAGGCCGCGAAAGCAGGCAACATCCTCTGCAAAACAAAATCCCCACTATTAGCCTGCCTGCTGGTTACTGGAAAAGCATACATGTGGATGTGGCTTGATGAGTTTGATTAGGCGGGAGAGACATGACGCCATGACGGACACCTTGAGCTTCTGGAGATGGAAGGCTGTTGGAACCGCCAGTCCCTCGCTGCACTCCTCCTCGCCCTCTCTGTCGCCGTAGCTCTCACCGAAGAAGAAGAAGTTCAGAGGAAGGAGAAGGACGAGAGACGTGATTCAGGACCATGGTCTGCATTTTTTAATCGATAATGCATGGATCTTCATAAATAGACATGCATGCCAACTGTATTTTTTAATCAACTATGCATGGATCCACATGAATAGTGTCTAGAAATCAACGGTGTCGAGCGTAGGTTCGGCTGAACCATGGTTCTGTACAACATTTTCGAAGAAGGACACGTTGACACGGTGGATTTTCCGGCGCACGAACGCCACTTCCTGAGCACAAACTCAGCTCACACCACACCATTACAGTGATCACCCCCGCGAGCTTTATACCCGGGCCAAGCTGGGCAACGACCCACTCGCACCTGCCCACTCGCGCGCTCCGATCGGCCCGCTCTGCACGCCCCGCGACGCGCTCCGCGCGCGCGCCCTGCGCCGAGCCCTCAACGATCACGCGCTCCCGCTGCGCTCGGATCACGCACTGACCTAGTCTACACACACACCCGTGATGTTTGGTGCTCCTGTAGAATAGATCCTTGGCTCCTTTTTTGCTGCTTTTGCTTCTGTGTTGATGTAATGACTCTCAAGGTAGTTTGAACTCGGTTGGCAGTTGCGAATTTAGGGTATGTGGTGTGGCTGGCCCTTTGTTGGCCTTTGGGGATGTTATTTGATCCTGGTGATTCCGGTTCGATCTTTTCGTTTCTTTTTGAACTCTTTTGTAGAACTTTGTGGTTTTCAGTAATGAAAATCGGAAGGGGCAAGCCCTTCTTTGATAAAAAAAACACACACACACCCGTGCGGTGTTCACCTGCACGAACACGCCCATGCACCACACGCACACCTACACGCACGCACACACCCAAGTCGCAGTGGACCCGACGCGCCCTGCACACCTGACACGCGCCCATACACGCGCCCGGTGTGTCGAACTCGTTCACCGCGGCTTATTGCACCCAACAAAGGCGTGGTTGATGATCCTGCGGTGGGCGACCCACTTGTCGCCCTGGTGAGTCGTCAGGCCGTTGGCCAAGAGGCGCTCGATCCGGAGGATGGACCTGTGCTTCCCGAACTGGCCCTGCTTGTTCGACAGGATCTCCCGGAACAGCTGAGGGTCGCTCACCACCACCCTCGGCTCCGGACCGAACCAAGTTAGAGCAACTTTACCTGCAATGCGATAGTCCCGGTGATTTCTCATGGCGTACAGGAGCCTAATTGAGAGGGGATGCTAGTCAATTACCATGTTGCTTGATGATGGCATGGTCGAACGGCACTGCTACTACAAGAAATATGTCAATTTGTGACCTTCTGTCAGTGACCCTGGAAGAACTGGTCATAGATCTATGACCATTTCAGACCAATTGGTCAAAAGCTGTTCGGGGGGCTCTAAACCCTAAACCATTGCGACCATTTTGGTCAGAAATGTCGTAATTTCCTTACACGAAATGGTCATAAAGCAAACAGCGCTAGTCCGCTGCCTTATTTCTAGTTGTTAACGACCAATATAGATGGTCATAGCCTTGTAAATTGTGGTGGGTTGCGATGACTAGGCGCCATCTCATCAGTTTTGCCTATGTGTCATGTCCATGTGGCAATTTTTGCCCTAGGTTGTGAAGCAACCTATATTTCTGTCATTCCCAAAATTCCCAAAAAAAGCTCATAAATTCTTTGGGTCATATCTTCGTCAAATATGTAAAAACCTTCCTTTCCTAGTTCAAAAATAATTCAAAAATATTCATTTTCCTATTCTGTTCAGAACAATAGTTTGTGAAGGAAGTACCACTTTGGCATGTCCAAATAGTATCCATTTTCTACAGTGCTTTCCTATGCCCAAATAACCATCTTCCACAAAATTCCAGCTCAATCCATTCATTATTTTGAGCCGAGCTTCAACATTCGTATTTATGTCCAGTGTGGTGGTTTGCAAAGCAAGTACCACCTAGGATCCTCCTTTTGAGCTGAAAATTTGTGAAGACGGTCTTCTTAGTAACTGATCATCCTCAGCCAAAACTCACGGCCATTAGCCATGTACATTTCCCGTACCACTAATCAAACACTTGGCTGCTTATTCATGTTTAAGCATCGATCGGTCTCCTCGTGAGAATCTTATGTTGTGATTTTCTTCCTAGCACCTACCTGGGGAGTTCCCAAACCACTAGACATGCCTAGGCCGCCCAGAACACATGGCAACGCCACGGTCACGCGGTGACCACGCGGCGGGCATGCGAGCTTACGCGCTCTAGAGTTGGGGCCCTCGGCCACCGTCGAAACCTCGATGTCTCTCCATCAAACCATGTATTTCTGATTAAATAGGTACTTATGTACCTAGAAATGATTTTTGGAAAAAATAAATAGCAAACTATGAGGCAGCTGCAGTTCAAATTTGACCCGCTTCCAACTGAATCGGCGAAAATTTGTCTTTTTCACGAGAGGTGGATCAAAACTTTTTACACCCAACCATTTGGTCAATTGTGCATTAAATATGTCCTAGTATTTTTAAAAAATGATTTGTTCCAATTTTGCAACAATTATTTGGTAGTTCCTTCACAAAAAAACCTCCTTTCGGGCACTCGAAAAATGAAAAATGGTTTTTTCGTCCAAAGAAAATGAAAACTTCCTTAGGCAACATTCTTTGCCATTCCAATATGCACCCTTGTGCACAATATGAGATCATTTGAACAAACTATGCCACGAATGTGGCCATAAGTTTGATCATTTGCCTTGAAAGCCATGAATCTTGAGAGATGATAGCTCATTTCTGAGAACACTTTTTAAAAAATAATTGCCGTATTACAAGTTTGTTATTTTTCCTGATAACTTGGCCACATATAATGACACAATGCGAAGGTCTCCCAATTTTTTGATTTTTTTTTGAATTTTTTATGCCCGTTTCAAAATGCGGTCAAAACGGCGGGAATGACCGATCCTAGCTAGTTGTTGAAACTTGGAATTTTTTTGGTGTTTCTATGATTAAATAGATACTTATGTACCTAGAAATGATTTTTGGAAAAAATAAATAGCAAACTATGAGGCAGCTGCAGTTCAAATTTGACCCGCTTAGAGCTGAATCGGCGGAAATTTGTCTTTTTCACGAGAGGTGGATCAAAACTTTTTACACCCAACCATTTGGTCAATTGTGCATTAAATATGTCCT